GGGATCATTGGTGGAAGGAAACTAATTTGCCCGGAGATGGGATTTGAGTTCATTCTTTATTTCATTTAATAATAATTTTTCATAAAGTTTTACAAACATAAATATGAGGTATTTTTTATTATTTATTTATTCATTTATTTTGCCTGAAATTATCATGTAACTCTTGAAAGCCTTATTTTCTCATAAATCATTATTTCATTTCACAAAAAAAGCCTCATTTTAGTTTACTATAATGCATAGGGGGTTATTCACAAAGCTGCCGTAGGATCCAGCCGTAGCTTCGGCTGATCCTTCGGTTAGCTTTGGCCCCAGGACCCCTTCCGTTCAGTAGAACCGAAGGGCTGCTGTACGGGCTATTCACTATAGCTCGTACAGCTCCCGAAGTTGGCCAAGCGGCTCAGTGGAGCCGAAGGCATATGTCTCGGCTCGACTGAGCCGAGGTGAAAGCCGAAGCTGGTCGAAAGGCTGGCCATTGGCCAGCCGACAGTCTGCTACTGACAGCTGGGCAGAGCCAGCCATCATCTCACGACTGGCTCTGGCCACTTGCAGAGACAGGTAACCAGGGGCGTTGATCTGCCATTACTCTCCCGGACGCTCCGGGAGTCTCCTGCTATTAGATAGCGGCTCCGGGCTGCCCGAGAGAGAAACACTTTCTCCCGGAAAGGTTTACTCTGCTTGATCGAGCAGAGTAAACCTTTCCCTGCTCTGTTTTTGTTTTTTTTCTTCTGACATCGGAGCCGCCGGCCATCGTCAGTTAGAAAAAAACAACAACATAGGAATGCATAGCTACATTCCTATTGGCTATTTCACTTTGCAATAGCCAATAGCAAACTAGCTATTGCACCCGCCCACTGCTGCTGTCAATCAGCATTGGGGACCTGAAGTTCTCCATCAGGTCCCCTTCTAGTGATTGACAGCAGCAGAGGGCTGGTGCAATAGCCAGCTTGCTATTGGATATTGCAAATTTAAATAGCCAATAGGAATCTAGCTATGCATTCCTGTGCTGATTTTTTTTTTTTTAATGTATTCTGACAGCTGAAAAGAAAAACTTGCAGATAGCAAAGAATCTATTGCTTCCTCTGCTATCTGCCATCATTTCAGGGGGGTGCTCTCTCCCCCCTGCATTACAATGAGAACTTAATTGAGCTGGCTTTGATACCACCGCTGACCCCGACAAGCTCTCATTGTAGTGACAGCTGGTCCCGGCCAATAGAAAACAGTTGGGCGGAGCTAGCTGTCACTGCTAGCTCCGCCCCAATCGTTTTCAATTTTATTTTTTCTACTTTTTTAACTGTTTTTCTATTCTGCTTTGTGAATAACCCCCATAGTTATTTTCAACTAGTTGTAACAACTCTCAGTGACTGTCACGGCTGCAAAAAACATTCATCAAGGAATATAGCATGTAATTTGCTGTTATGTGCCTAGGCTGTGAAAATAAAAAGTATTTAAAGAATATTAAAATATATACAGAAAATAACAATACATTCTGATAATGCAACTTTCTTATATTTTTTTCAAATGTTCCTATAATTTTGATTTTTTTTTCTATTATCATTACAATATTACATTTATATGGAACAAATTAATTTAAACCTACCCATCGGCAAACGCATAATCCCAGATATCTTCTTCACCATTCTTTCCTAAATAACATATTGGTCCTTTATTGATAGCCACTGCAGAAATGATAAAATTGTAGCCAGCTCCAACAAATCCTATAGCAGCAAAGAGGATGGAAGAAAAGCTCTGTAGGAAAATAAGTAAATCAAAGATATTTATCAGGCTTTTTAATGACAAATAGCAAAATTGTTAACAAATAGCTAAAACAACATGTAAGTGAGTTTAAAAATGTGGTTATTAATTATTGCAGGTTATAGTTGTATTTTAGAGTGAGGTTTAAGCTTCGTCTTGTCCTGTTTAAAAGTTACTCATGTTCTATTTAAGCCACACCTCTCATTAAATTTTCTCAAGTTAGAAATCTGAAAAATACCCATAATTATATTAATTATTCAATACATTTCTCTGCTTATCAATCAGTTCTGGGTCTGTGGGGTTGTACTGACATTTGTTAACGGTTCCCTTTCTTAAAACCAATGCTAACAGCTTATGTAAACCCAAGCCTCTACTGCTACCGCATTACCAATAATAATTTGAACCGGCGGACAAATTGTTTGGATTTTCATTTGTAAATAAATGCAGAGGCACTGGTTATGTCTTTGGCTCATTTGATTTTTTTAGATTCAAACCCAGTTCCAGACACATGAACATGGTACTTTTAGCATAAAGTTTAAAAGCGAATTTCACAGTAATCAATCATGTCTCCTCAACTATCACTTGTTCCTAACACTTATTTTTTATCTTCATGCTTAAACCCTTCCCTGCCCCAAGCCATAACACCCATACCTTAACCGAAAATGAATCTATAACCTGCCTTAAGACTTAATCTTTGGCCTAACCATTAAAATGAACCCCTAACACATAACTTAACATTTAAAAGAAATCATCAATAGTTCGTTAGTTAGCTAGTAGTCTCATGACCTTGGGATATTCCTGTTAATTAGCTGAGCTCCAGGATTAGAATCCCTGTACACCTGGAGAACTCCTTCTAACTAACCGCTTATATTTCTGTATAGAGGAGCAGGGAATTTGTTGCTGCTGACCCACTGAAAGTAATCATGATATATATACTGAACACAGCATTCGGGAAAAACTAGAAATTGCTCTCACTTGTCTTTATGTACTTACTGCAAATCTCTTGCCACAGCTTTCATTTCCACAGCACCCACAGCAGTCATTCTTCTTCATACCCAAAAACACGAGGGCAGGGAAAATAATCTATAAAATTGAAACCATTTGTAAAATTAATCATGGTGGATTGGCCTCTCAATTTAAATAGTATATATTTGTATGACATAGTTTGTGAATTATAATAGGAGAGGTTTCATCGCTCAATCTTTCACTATTAGTCCCAGACTCTAGCATCCACAATGGTGGAGTGTATAATTACAATGTAACCATTAATGTTGTGAGTGGTTTGAACAGAGACCAAAATAACTATTACATTCTTCTGGGAGTATTGCCCAACTGCACTTTATTATTATTAAGTATAAAATAAACACCCTTAATTTTTACCACCCCATTGAATGTGCATCTTGAAAATTCCTCTCAGAAAATCTAGATATACCCTTGGTATATATGAAAGTGCATATCAATGTTGATGGGCAGATGAGGTCAGAACTGCAGGACAAGATCTCAACAGCAGGTATAATGCAAATAACCTATTAAGAGTGAGTTAAAAAATAGAAAATACTACTAAACACTAAAGCTGGCCATACACTATAATATTTTTTTTTTGTTCAGCTCGAGAGTTGAACGAAAGAAAAATAGAACAGATTTCTCAAAGAATGCATGCTTACATTGATTGAGGAACCCCGCTTTTTCATCGGCTGCTGGCTCTGCTCATTTGAAGATTTTCTGACCTGCTCCTTCGATCAGCTGATCAAGGGATGCTGGCCGAAAGGGTGCCGATAGCAGAACCCACTATGCGAATTTCGGACGGTTCCTGAGCAACTGGACGAAATTTTCATAATGTATGGCCAACTTTAGGCTCTGTTCACATCTATGTGATGCGGGAGCATGTGCGTCCCGCATTGCATGTTGCAATGTTCGGTGCAATACGGTGCCATTATTTTTTAATGGCACCCCAACACACCTAGCCGTCGCTATGTGTGTTGTATCACAGCACATTGCATGGTAGCCTATTACTATACAATGTGGTGCAATGCAATTGAAAAAAAAAGGTGCACCCAGGGTGAAGTAACATTGTTTTTGAAATTTTTCGTTTGTTGCTTGCCTTGTTAAGCCCTCAAATAACAACTAAGGTTTAATATAGGGAGCTTGCTTTTTCTACTTAATGAGGGTAAAAAAACCTATCCCATATGCTATTAAAGTAGATCTTATGATAAAATACTCTTTCCCCCTATTTTAATCATGTACTGCATCTTAGTATTGTTGATCTTCTCCATCCTCTTTCAGACAGTTCCCATCTTTATGCACTTGTTCCAGCGTCAGCTACACATCACCACCCTGGACCAGCTTCCTCGTGGTGACAACCGTGGACCATGCCTGTGGAATGTTTGTCAGCATGGTTGCTTGTAGTCTCTAGAAAGGGTGCATATGACAGGGTAACAATGCAGCACAAGTTGGCAACGAGGACAGACCGTTGTCACGCAATAGAATTGCCAGGACAAGGACCTTTCTGGCAGGATCACAGGGAGTTATTTTAATAAAAGCCCATATTTGGAAATATAGAAAACAATGTTTGAAATTACATTAACATGTTAAAGATTATATGAAATGTAAGTGATTAGTATAGGTCCGTTTTCGACAGCATGGCCCACATCTTCCTTACATCGCCTGCATTTATATAAACCTGCTAATTTGTTGGATACCTAAATGTCTAATCTCTGTAACTCAAAAAAATTAACAAAAAATATTAAAACATTGCACTCACTTAGCAACATATATCGTTTCCACATTATTTTTAGAAGTATACATTAGTTCTTATAAGGGTCCATTCAATAAGCTGCATGCACTTTTTTAACTGTGGTTTTTTTTTATATCAACCTGAATAGTATATTGTAGAATATTTTTTTCTCCTGAAATAGATATTTAAATGGAAAGCCTCTGTTTCAAATTATTTGGCATTTTATCACTTGAATAGGTATTTTATCCACATCTCAAATGGCTCAGTTTTCTATTCTCCTGAATTGACCAAAATGATCACTTCCTCTTGTTTGTAACAGTCAAAACACTTAAAAAAATAAATACTAGTGTGATAAATGTATCTGATTCATGCAACAATAGGTTTAAATGAACTGTAATATAACAAATAACCATGTTAATGAAAGTACTGCATGTGATATGCTTTTGTTAATTGACCTATAGCGAATTGTATCCATCTGATAATTTGTGGCATTTATGAAATGTTATTGCTATAGTATAATGACAAATAATATAAAGACTTAATGCACTGTTGTTCACATAAGTGTTCAAATAAAGTCTTCTTTATTTCATGAAGAGTCCTAAATACTCCTTTATGATTTTGTAATCTTCTCACGAAGGTTCCACAGTTTACAAATATCTCAATATTGTACTTTACTCACCAGCACTCCAGACCCGATGATTCCGCCAAGGTAGAAGACTTCCCTTGATATGTGATCATTGCTCTTTGCAACCACTCCAGCAGGGAAAAACAGTAAGGTGTTGGCCAGTAGACTGCAAACAGCTAAAACAATGAGCGTAGCGCCCAGGCACTTGGCACAACTTCCTGTGCACATCTTTAAGCTCAACAGGTAACTCTTCTTTATAAATGAAACTCTCCTGTAAAAGACAGTCCAGTGCACTGTTATCCACTATTGAACAGCTTGCTATTGTCTGTGGTTTTATGGTGCCCTGGCAATTTATATGTGGATGAAATCCTATGAGATAATGCTCTGAGCAATAGTTTGTCATGACAACTAATAACCCCTGTTAATATTCTACCTAAGCATCCAGGATGGTCACATGGGCTTTTCTTTTTCCTATAATATGGATATATTATGCTTCCTCAAAAGTCACACCCCCGTATTGTATTGATGGCACAAACTTGAAAACCTGTACTTTTTGTTCTAGAATGTAAAGGCATTTATTTGGAATTGTTCTACCATATCCAGTTGTAGATTCCCTGCACCCCGGCTGTACACTCCTAGAAAACTAGTGCTGTCCTTTTTTTCTCTTTGTATGTTTTTTGTAAAGTTATGCTGTGAGGAATATCAATGTTGCGCAAGTTAATTTTATGATAGGGAGCACAAATGTGGAAGCATTGATTTGTAAAAGAGCTGTAATAGCAGTCTCATTTATTGTGTCTTCAGTAGACATGGAACCCCGCTAACAATGTGTTTTGTTTTTCAATCCTTTCGTTTTTTGGATTTCGGATCCAAAATTTGATTTGGTTAATTATTCGGATTTCAGATCCGTCCGAATTTTTGTTTCAGAACAAAGTCACATGACGTCCTTGCACTGCAACCCCCAACAGCAAAAAAAAAACCCATCTGATTTACCAGAGAAGAGTCACATCTCTGTATTAGTTTAGTTTTGAACAAAATTCGGACAGACCCAAATTTTCGGATTTGTTTGCATTCAGTTGCGTTCAAATTAGGACATTCGGATGCATCCGAATGACGGAATTTAATGAAATTCGTATGAATATCCATTCGGAACAAAATGAAATTGACATGTCTAGTCTCTAGTCTATGACTGTCTTCTGAAGCATGCCCTCAGTCTGCAACAATTGTTATAGCATTTTTTTCAGTCTCTGATCCATCTCCTGTTGCATGCCTGCAGTCTCTGAGAGCTGTATGTAGCATTACATTCACTGAACATGTGCAGCCCTTTGATAATGTCAGGAGTTGCACTAAAGGGACCCCTACAACAGGAAAGCTGACCACCACTAATCTGGACTCAACCAGCAGGCTCATTTCTTCTTGAAATTCTTAGTTGTATATTTTTACTTTTATTGAGGTGAAATAACCTCTGTATCTCTTTTTAGCTGAAAACACTGTTCTTTGTACCACGCAAAATACTTCCAGCCAGATGAGAAATTGTGTGTATGTCACTTCTATCCATACATGATCAATCACTTAGGTTTTTAAAGTAATACAAATACTCAAACTCTATGAAACATGAGCTGTTAATTGTTATTAAAGAATTATCAACTTATTTTGACAATTTACTGCCTGTACAGTGCTACCATGGTGAGAAGAACCTTTAAAAGAAACAGAAGTGGAAGCTATTCAATAAATCTATAACGAGGAGTGGAAAGGTGTACAAGGGTGGGGACGTTCACAGAAAAAGAACAATACAGAAATTCCTCAGAACTCAAGTCTAAAATTGGTTTCTAACATAAGTTTTAATGCAGTATAATTTTTCAAATATTTACCTGTTATAAACACATAAAGACTTTAAGGTGTAACAGTCATATGAGGCAAAACAATAGGACCCTCTTCCTGTTTCTTCTTTCAGCTTTGTTGTTAAGACCCATTAATAGCAAACAGGAATTTAATAACATATTTAATAGTTGACAAAAATTTAATGGCAGTAAGTATTTGTTAATACCTTTGATAAGTAAAGTAGATGATGCGTTAAGATTGTATGGAACTTGTTTTATTATTTATTTTAAACAGTTATTGTGTTTGGACTACTTTCTGCCTTTTTTCTATTGAATTCAGTACAAGCCTATGCATTGGATCCTTTCTGAGTTTTGTTCTCCCTGTTGGAAAATGTGGGAATATCTTCTACAAACACGCATGAGTACCTTCAAGCTCAACAAACTATATATTTTACTGTCTATAGTAATATTTTCTTTAACATTAAACCATCATATGGCAGAACTTACTTAATGTACTTGGAAACAGACGTGGAGGATATGTACGCCTTAATCCTCTTATTTGATCCTTTTTGGTTTGTTAACTATTACTATTAAAGTACTTTGTTATATCTGTTTGATATGTGCTAAAAATACCTGTTGGTCTTGCCAGAAATCTTGTTGATTACCGCACCTTTCTATGCTATGCTCCTTTCACACGGACACCATCGGAAGCCCAATGCTAGTCTATGGGCAGCCAGTCCGGAAAAACAAAGGAAACAGTGTTCTGTTTCAACGGACCTGAGGGTGCTGCATCAGGCGCAATCTGATACATGTTCATTTACATCTGATTCTCCATAGACTGACATGGCGTCCAATCATTTCAGTTTTTTCTTCCACCACTGTGACATCTGATACAAACCACTCCAATCAGGAGGGAACCTGTGCATGGATCCCGTCCTGATCAACCTGTGTGAAAGAGGCCTTATGGAAAAGAGCAGATAAGGAGTAGGGATGGTCCGCTGGTTCGATTCGTACATGAGTTTGAATCGAATATCGGCCGTTCGCTGAACGCGGAACTTTATGGGATGTTCACGGTCTGTTCGACCGCGCAACGTCCCATACTGCAAAGAGCCCACCGAAGCTCTAATTGGTTAAAGACTTGTACCTGAAGACTTTGCCCAATCAGGGCTCAGTACTCATTTGGAGCCATGATTGAGCAAAGTCATAATGACTCTGCCCAATCATGTCTCGCCTATCGGATGCCGGCAAACTACACAATTGGGCGGAGCTAGCTGTCACCGCTAGCTCCGCCCAATTGTTTATGTTTTGCCGGCATCTGTCAAAATGCCATTATGTGGTGGGAGTCGGTGGGGAGCGGCCGGGACGGTGGCCGGCAGGTTTTTTTTTTCTTTATTATTTCTATTTATTTTTGATTGTTTTATTTTTTATTTCGTCGTTGTCGTTGTGGATAGCGCTGGATGCCGTAATTGACCATGGGTTACGTCGGAGGATCCATTTGTTGGGTTTTTTTTTTTTAAGAAAAGATTTGTCAAAAACATGTCTTTTGTTTAGTTTTCTTCAATTAAAGGATTTTATCAAAAGTGTGGATTTTTTTTTAATAACTATGGGTTCCCTCCTAAATATTGCTACCAGACTTTAAGGGCCTATTAGAAGGAACCCCACACACTACACACACACAGGGTCCCTCCTAAATATTGCTACCACTTGCTGATGGGGGATAAATTGGCAAGAATAGGTGGATAGATATGTTCTGTTTTACAGAATTATTATACATTGTGTGTATGGTTTCTAGTGATCCCCTCTTACTACTTGACTATGCTAATGTGGAAGAATCTGAAATGCAATTGTATGCTATACTGTTTGTGCATCATGTGCTATCTTATTGTTTTATTCTACTCTGGAAAATTAATAAAATACTTTGAAAGATTAAATATTCCTACCAGACCTTAAGGGTCTGGTATGACTTTTAGGAGGAAACCTACACTTTTTTTTTTAAAATGGTCCCTTCTAAAATTCCTACCAGACCTAAAGGGTCTACTATTGTTTGGGAGGGGGAACTACACACTAAGAGTAAAAAAAACAAAACAAAAATGTTTTTTTTTTATTTTTTAGAAATGACAGTTTTGCTGCAGCAGGTTCTATACATCCTACAGATCCGTCACTTCACAGGCAGGTTAAGGGGACCCCCAGGCACGATATTTGAAGGAATTTTTCATTTTTTTTGTTACCATTTAGGTGATGTTAAAATCACTGCTCCTTTAAAAACTGTATTTTTTTTTTCATTGATTCCTGTCCCCCAGGTCAGTACCCGGACCCCATACACCTTTTATGGACAATAACTTGCATATAAGCACTCTTAAAGGGGACAATCATTTTCAAAAGTTCGACCCCCATTGACTTGCATTAGGTTCGAGTTCGTGTTCAAACTTTTCAGGTGTTCAAATACAAACCGAACACGGGGGTGTTCGGCCCATAACTAATTAGGAGGACGTTTCTGTAGTCCTGTATTGTTTCTGCTGTCCTAATACAGTAGGGTAAGTGAGTGTTTTTAGATCAGGACATGGGTTACTGGCAGAAATACCGGTTGAAAATGCAGAGCAAAAAGTTGGAAAAAATAAAATTAGAGCTATCAAAAGACTGGTACGCTTTGTTGTTGGGCTTAGTTATGCTTTAACAGTCCCGTACATTTGACAAAATGCCCCGGTAATAGAAAGTCAGTAGCCTACACAATGGTGAAAATTAGTTTTGTGAAATGTGTAGCCAGTCAAAAAATCTTTAATTTGGTCTTTACTTCAAGAGAAGTAAAGCCAAAACTTTTTTGACTATACTTCTTTTTTAGGTCAAAAGAGTACATTTAGTGAGTATGTATTGTTCTCCCCATATACCCTGTTTCCCCGAAAATAAGACCTACCCCAAAAATAAGACCTAGTACTTTTTTTGGGAATTGCTAAAATATAAGACCTACCCGAAAATAAGACCTAGTTGTGACCATTCCCAGGGCAGGTGGTGGCATAAGGGGGGGACTTGAAGAGCTGCAGGAGAGAATCAGCGGTGCCAATGAAGCCGGTGCTAGAGGAAGCGAGGCGGCAGCAGAGGGAGCAGAGCCGCATAAGCCGATGCTTCCTCTATAGCGCCGCCTCCTGTCACTGGCGGAGTGATACCTGTAAGGAATCGATAGTGAAAGTGTGCTTCGCTCATTCTGGCCAGCGATTGGTTACCAAATTGCTCTTGGAAAGGTACGGCACCCCTGATTGCCCTGATCACCCTATTCTTAACTTTGCCATTTTGGATGATTTAAATTTGGATTTGCGTTCACTTTGGATTGTTAAACATTAAAAAAATAAGCCCTACCCCGAAAATAAGGCCTAGTGCGTTTTTTGAGCCAAAAAAAATATAAGACAGTGTCTTATT